GAATATTAAATTGAAGGAAAAGTAGTGGCGATGAAATTTCGTACGAATGACTTTAATAATTGCTTTAATGTCTACCAATAAAAAAGGACGTGTAACTTCTTGCAGAGTAGAACAATCTTAATTGTGGACATTGATTAGAAGCTAGTGAAGATATTATCTAAAAGACTCGAAATTCCAAGCGTTTTCTATCATCACAACACGACTTGCGTATAAAGACTGTTTTGAAGCGAGGAATAACGCGAGATAAGAGGTCGTCGCCTCAATTAATTCTTCTCACACTCGAGTACACGAACGAATCCGAAATGTTGGGAAATAATACTGACACGAATTCCGCTCATTCATAAGTTCTCGTACCGATAACGAATTGATAAGCAGTAGATTGGTCCAAGCTCCGCGTTCCACGTCAGCCACTATACGTCGTGCAATTCGATTTAGACAATAAACTTCAAGAAATAAAAACGATTTTAGAAGCAATTTAGTTTTTAAAGGGCAGGTGATAAAAAGGGCGCAGATGTTATTACATTTATTACAACCAAGGTCCATTGAGAAATTGTATTTGTAACTTTCGCATTTGGACACGCGAAATCGGATTCAGACGGTAACTGAAAGTTCGTCGGAGCGTTCGATGACAAGTTGCAAACTTAATTACCGCGTCGAAGCGGTTTGGCACGCTCGCGGCTGGTTCTTACGACGGAAAGTGTGCCAACTGGGGATCTCACGGCCAAGAGAGCAGCGCGTATAAATGCTGCATTTCATCGTCGTGGTGTATGAACGTATTCTCAATACGAACAGCATTTATTAGCAACTTCTACGGTTTGCAATTTCGTTAGACTGCTCGCGCGTGTCGGCTGTGCTATCGAACATAGATTTCTAATTTTGTTTCCGCCACATTCGCTACCCTAGCTAGACTTGTGCTGTCTGAAGCTGATTTACTCCGCGTTTAAGCGTATGTTTGATCGAATGCTTGACCAATTCATTTGTACGGATGACTCAAGGAATCCAGGCCCATTTTGTACACATGTACGTAAAATATATGGCAAGTTCACTCTCTTTCTCTCTCTCTCTCTCTTTTTATATGTAATGCTTTCCATGCGTCGCGCTTACTTGGACGTTTCTATGTTTGTCGTCGGAGTTGATCAGGAATTACGTGAATCATCAGTACTACCGAGGGTATACTGATTACTGAATTGATAGGCAGTACATAATAATTATAGTTGGAAGTACAACTTTTGTTTGGAACTATTTCGTTGGAAAGACAAGTTTTTGCAATAAACGAGTTTACTCATTAAGTAATTACTGACGGTAATGAAAAGTATTTTTTTGTAGTGTAGGTACTGACGGCCTCTACAAGAAATATTTTATGTATTTTTCTTCTAACTTAAGTATTTAACGAGTTAAGTATCATTAATTGGCAT